AATTTTAAAAAACTTTTTAAGACCTTTTTAAAACCTGCAGAAACCCTCAAACTCAAGATATTTTCATACTTTTTCTGTATATTTTTTATTACTATTGTTATTTATAAGTTATTGTCTATTCTCTCTTTTTATGTATGTCTGCACTTTGTATTTTCTGTACCGGAAGCTCCTAACACCAAGACAAATTGCTTGTGTGTGTGTGTGTGAACACACTTGGCAATAAAGCTGATTTCTGATGTTTTATTCTATGACATAAAATACATCAGTAATACCCGCTTGTTATAAAACAGCTAAATATGACTACACTCTAAAAAATGCTGGGTTAAATGCAACCCAGTGCTGGGTAAAATAGGGACAAACCCAGCAATTGGGCTGGTTTGACCCAGCGGTTGGGTTAAATGTTCAACCCAACCTTCTGGGTAGTAACCCAACCACTGGGTCAAAACAACCCAATTGCTGGGTTTGTCCCTATTTTACCCAGCACTGGGTTGTATTTAACCCAGCATTTTTTAGAGTGTACAGCCTCATTGTGTTTATAATCTAGCTATTCAGGTTGTGTTGATTTGTAATGATTATCTTAATGAACAAAATGTTTCTGTGAGTAAGAATCGTTTGTTGGTCACAGAGCTTGTTTTCTGCAATAATCCAAAATCAGATTTTTACTCGAAATGACTTGATATTCACATGTTTCTCAACACTACACACACCTGATGGACAAACACGTCGACTGGAGTTTCTAAAGGCACACCATCTCTTGTGCTCATGGACAGGAATCCGAAACCCATCCGAACATTGAACCACTTGCACACACCCACTCCGTGGTACGACTGAGGGTCTTCCTCTGCGGCCTGCCCCTCCTCCTCCTCTGTTTTACAGCCTCCTGCAAAACCATTCACATTTACCATCACTGGTTTTACAAGAGAAAATAATATACACGCAGGCATGTATTCAAAGGTGACATTTAAAAATTCGAATGTAACAGAAACATACATTCGAAACTTGCATTATGAAATAATTGCCGCCAAACTGACAGACCGAACAGTAGTTGTTTTAAATTATTTTCACAATAAATCCGCGCCATTGGCTATTCAAACGTTTCACTTGAACTTTATTTCAATGTTTTAAATAGAATAAATATCTGGTTAGTCGTCTCTTGCAGTTTTGTAGCAAATAACTACAAATAAAAAGGTTTTAAAACACATTTCTGTATATTTACAATTAAAGCGTTTAGCCTCTATTGCAGCTTGGAAAGCATAACAGTGTAGTATCTACTACTCTCTCCATGTATCTTGCAAGTATTATTTTAATTATAATTTTTTTAATTGAAAAAAAGGCAACGAATTAAATTCACCCAGTTACGAAATGCCTTGTTATGTGTTGATAAAAAATTATTATTATATTTTTTAAAAACAATTCAGTTTTTATTTCAATAAATAAATATCAGAACATAAGGCAAAGCTGGGAATAATTAATAGGCTTATATAATTTTAAAAACCAATTCATTTAACTCGTTTCAATGGCAGGCCGTGCTAGTTCTTTACTCGTACTTTCTGCTACTTCACTTTGATAGTCCTGGTGTAAAACTGAACCCATGTTGAGCTGAATGAAATCCACGCGCTCGGTTTCCTTCCCTTCTGCGACCAGCGCGGGACTAAAACCTTCCTCAAGTCTCATGAAAGCAAAGTAACGCGAGTAAAACAGAGGAACTCCACGATACCTCACTTACACGCGTACACGAGGGAGTGGGGGTCAGACACGGAGAAGAAGAAACCTGAAGACAATGCGTGGTGGACCCCCAACCCCCGCGTCTCCTAAACAAGCAACACCTTGATGTAGACTACCTTCATGAAGAGGACCAGAACTTCCAAAAACAAATGACATACCCTCAGCCATGGGCTCCTTCCTCTATGCTTTTCTCCTGATGTCCAGTGAGGGATGTTTGCGTTAAATCTGGGTTCTCCAGGTGATCTCTCGGTGTTTCGGTGACTGCTCTGAACTGATGATGCTTCTCATGCTCGACCCCCTCTCTCTCCCTGTTTCGGTCAAGTCCACGTGATTCCCAATCACTCTCCCCTCCAGGACCTTTAAAGTGGCATAACAATCTGACGTGTTCAGAATGCTACATGTAAAGATTACTCAGGCTATATGCTACTGCTCCCATAGAGCTAATCCTTATTATACATAAATAAATAAATAAATAAACAAACAAAATGTATTTATTTGTATGGGCGAATGGTTGATTCTGGGGACATCTGCTGGATAAATGCATGAAAATGCAATAAAAAGACCATCAAAATCGTACAAAAACGTCCAAAATGCTACAGAATTTACTGGCATATATTTTTAATCATTAATATCTTGAAACTTTATATGATTAATATACTTCATTTTTTTAATAATAAAGCGTCTTTTCAGTTTTGTTACCAAAGGTCTCTAATAAAATATATATTTTTGTCTAGATAAATAAAAAGCAGGTTTATGGTTTTATATCTCTATGATATGGCTATGCTTTTATTTCGTCTATGAACAAAAAAGCAAACGTAACTGTGCTAATCATGAAGCACTATACCAGGCTTGTTTGACTAATTAACACAACTTCTCGACTCTTTGTTATTTGAAATTATGCATAGGAGTATTTTACCAGTATCATATCACAATGTATGCGGCACTAATATACTAATCAAATGTTCTGTAACTGTACGTTTGGAAGCATTTCTACTTTATTTAATTACATTTGAAATATAACACTGACACGACTCTAACATCATTTCTCTAGAGTCTAGATTTTTATATTTTGTATGTCTCCCTGTAACAAAATTTTGAGTTGTGCCTCAGGACAGACAAGTATTATGAGAGAAATTCTTAGTTATCTGAAGATAACAGGAGTAGAAAGTAGAATTTAAATTTCATATTAATACTACTTTTTTTCTTCTTCTTCCTCTTAATGCTTCACACTCCAGTTCAGTTGGTGGCGGTAATGCACCATAAGTTGGCTTGTCAACCGCCATTAAATCGTACAAGAAGAAGAAGAAGCAGGACGTGAGCAGCTGTTATTTTTGGTTTATTTTTTTTATTATTATTCCTGTTATTTTTCTCAGCCAGACTTTTGTTCCACACTCCAGTCCAGCAGGTGGCGGTAAAGCACCCATTAGCTGGTTTGCCAAACCGCCAAAAACACTTAAGAAGAAGAAGAAGTGAGCAGCTGAACATCACATGCTGGTGTGTGTTGTTTAGATGGGGTGCATTTTTGGATAATCTTTATCAAGCCTTGCTTTTGAAGAGCAATAGTTGTAAGTTTCTTTCTCTACTTGCGTTGGGTGACATGTGTTTTTGACATTAATGTGTAAAGTGGTTAAGACGTTGTCTTTTATACACATAGCATGCTATCTTAAGCTTTTTCAATGCAAATCGTAAATATTTTTGGAGATATATAAAAGTCTATTTTAATATGCAAATGTGAGTAATATTGACACGATTCTTGTAACCTGTATATTGTAATTTGTGTTATCTGAACAGGTTTAGTCATGAGACTAACTAGAGATTGTATTTTTCCTTCAGTGTCAGGTCTATTGTAGAGTTCGGACATCAAGCTGAAATTGAAACTTCCATTTCTCGAATTTATAACTGATGGAGTTTAACTTGCTGTCAGACTTAGGAAAGTTAAACATGAGAACAGTATACCTATAGTAAGCCATTCTTGTCACTAGGAACCTACTTCAAGCTTGTGTGTTTTTCAATTATATTTTGTTAAATGTCATGTTAATTAGGCTAAAACTTGGACAATGTCAGCGTTAAGCGTAATTGAACTGTTGGATGTTCCCTCAGGCATCATGTTGCCATTATCAAAGCCACTGGAAGGCAAGCCTGCAACCTTTAGCCCAAAAACAGTGCAATGGGGCTGGTGCTAACACTGCGGCTTTGGCAGTACACAGGGAAGGAGACCAGAGGCCATTGTAGGATTAGCTTTGTTTTGTATGAGGTGCTTTACATGATCCAAGTCAGCCATTGTGCTTTTTCCCAATCTCTCAATAATAAGACAACCTCTGGCCGTTATCCACCTTAGTTTCCAGTGCAGAAGCAAGCTATTTTCTGCGAATGTGCGAGACTTCTGATTCATTACCCGCTACAGGGAAACATCCAGAAGAATACCCAAGTACAGTAAATGGTCAAATTGTATGCACTACAAATGAATGTGTTTATAATTAAGACAACACATTAATATAATATAGTAAAACAAATACCAGTTTGCAGTTTCAAGCAGCGTAACTAGCTGTTTTGTACAGCTAAAATGAACTGGAAGTGAATGACACTGGAAGCCAGACACATTACATTTACAAATGTTTCACTTACATAAATGCTTAAATGTGTAATAATAATAATAATAATAATAAAAAACACTCAGTAACTGATGTATTGTTGATTTGGGCAGATCTGCTTCTTCCACACAGATATTCATGTTCAGCGAAGCTCTTTCCACAACAATCACACATTCAGCAATTCACTAATACATGCTGGAATATTTCCATCAGTTCACAAGTGCAGACGCGCATCAAAACATCAGGAAGAGCTGAAATCTGCAAAGACTGAGTTTCTTAAAGAGGACAGAGAGATGATGAGAGATCCAGAACCCTGCAGAATGAAACGCACTGAAGAACAAACAGGTTGGTGTTTACTAGTGAAAGAGACTAACTAGTGAGAGACGGCATTGACCTCGTGTATAATTCACTGGTCGCAGTGATTTTGCCAAGTAAGACATGTTCCTGGATCAACATTACTGTCAAAACACTCAGTAACTGATGTATTGTTGATTTGGGCAGATCTGCTTCTTCCACACAGATATTCATGTTCAGCGAAGCTCCTTCCACAACAATCACACATTCAGCAATTCACTAATACATGCTGGAATATTTCCATCAGTTCACAAGTGCAGACGCGCATCAAAACATCAGGAAGAGCTGAAATCTGCAAAGACTGAGTTTCTTAAAGAGGACAGAGAGATGATGAGAGATCCAGAACCCTGCAGAATGAAACGCACTGAAGAACAAACAGGTTGGTGTTTACTAGTGAAAGAGACTAACTAGTGAGAGACGGCATTGACCTCGTGTATAATTCACTGGTCGCAGTGATTTTGCCAAGTAAGACATGTTCCTGGATCAACATTACTGTCCAAAAATACAGACTTAACCCAATCCCCACCCCTAAACCTAACCTTACCCATCATTTATTCCTAAAATCAGTGGGAAATGATAGCTGATTAGCACCTACTCCTGATTGTAAGCCTAAAACTGACATTTCCTGAAAAGTTATCTCTTAATTCTGATTGGTTGATTGGAATGATGTTCCAGGATCAACAAGGATGTTGATCCAGCAACATGTTGTACTTGGTCAAATCACACTCACCATAATTCACTGGTGAGAAAACATTACAGTACAAAGTACAGTACATAATATTACAACAATGACACCTTCCATTCTCGCTCAGTCTGCAATAACATAATAAATGATAACATATCGTGTCTGCGTGAAAGGTGCGCAGAAAAATGCAAATACATACATTGACAGGCAGGTATCCTAATGTTTGGACCGAATAATCTGATTGGTCGAACATTTGATGTATTTACGATATAAATTCTCAAGCACTCTCTGGCTTGTGTTTATACCTGCTGCACATTTCAGAAGCGTCCAGAAGTGGCTCTTTGTGCTGCTTTGCTAAAGATATGCTCCTAGTCTAATTTTGATGGACGCCTCGTCCAAGCTGCACATAATTAGATAATTTATGTATTTTAACAGCTGCATGCCTTTTATCGTTGTCATTCATAACTAGATAGGTAGAACCCCTCCCCCCCCCCTTTGGTCAGATTAGCCTACACTTCCTTAATAGCTTAAACACAGACTTTTAACTGCAATATCACTGTTTCTGTCACTGCAACTTCCCAAACAGGCAAACACACACACAAAATGAAATTTTGGTCTTTCTGCCTGATGAAAAAATGCATTAAAAACACACCTTCATATTTCAGAGAATGTAGTTAATATTTGCGTAATTTATGATTTAATCCCGCAATTAATCTAAATGTTTATTTTATTACCCGACCCGCAGATTATCCGCAGTGCCTGCAGATTTAACTGATCGCTGCATCACTACAGCTGACATTAAAAAAATGCTTGATCAGCTCGGTTTCTGGAAAGAATATCTAGTACCATTAATGGCTAATTCTGAGAAACATTATTACTCAGGCAGTAGTTGGAAGATGTTCAATAACAAAACACCAATAAAGATGATATATCTTTGTGACCCTGGACCACAAACCAGTCACGAGGTTCATTTTTTGTTAAATTGAGATTTTTACATAATCTGAAAGCTGAATAAATAAGTGTTCCATTGATGTATGGTTTGTTAGGATAGGACAATATTTGGTCGAGATACAACTATTTGAAAATCTGGAATCTGAGGATGCAAAAAAACAACAACTAAATTCTGAGAAAATTAAGTTTTTAGCAATGCATATTACTAAACAAAAATTACATTTTGATATATTTACAGTAGGAAATGTACAAAATATCTTCATGGAACATGATCTTTAATTAATATCCTAATGATTTTTGGCATAAAAGAAAAATCGATAATTTTGACCCATATAACATATTTTTGGCTATTGATGCAAATATACCCCAGCGACTTAACACTGCTTTTATGCTCCAGGGTCACATTTATAAAATGTGCATAACATGCATATTTTAGGAGAATACTACAAATATTACATATAAACGTACATCTAACAAAATAAAACATAAATGAGTAACATTAATGAGTAAATACATGAATATATCATGAGGATTAATATAAGAAGCATAAATTATTTAAAAAATAATCAATCATAAATGAATACATTGATATGAAAATCTCGAAATATATAAGAACATCGATTATTTGGATACATCACTGATGGTCATAAAGCAAATAATAAGGGACACTTTCTATGAACTGGGTCTTTTTTTTTTCCCTCAATAAAACTTGTTAGATGATTGTGTAATTGATCAAACATAATAGTCTCTCCCTATAGAGACATGGGATTTGTGCCAATAATGTTTTAAAAATAATAATTTGAAAATCAATGCACCTCATTCTTGGAAAGTTTCGACAACATAATTTATGAAAATGCATCAAAATTACCAAAATTTTGTAACGCAATTGTCCACTTTCTGCGGTTATATCAAGGTTCATTTTTATGTCCTTTCACTTGTCTCTTTTTAATGAGTTGCTCACAAATGAACGGTTTTTACTTTGATTTCAGAGTTGATTGAAGAAAACGAGGAGAAAGAAGAATTGAGTGAATTTGAGGAGGAACGTCATGTTAAAACTAGTGGCTTTCAAACCAAACAGAAAGATTTAAAGAAAAGAAGAGCCAAGAAATCTTTCACCTGCACTCAGTGTGGGAAGACTTTGACTAACAAACGTCATCTTGAGCTTCATATGAGAGTTCATACTGGAGGGAAGCTGTATGCATGTGATCAATGCGGCAACACATTTTTGAGGGCTTCAGTCCTGAAGAAACACCTGAACGTTCATACAAAGGAGAAGCCACATTCATGTCATTTGTGTGGGAAGAGTTTTTCATGTCTACAACATTTAAAAGAACATCAGAAAATACATACTGGTCTGAGAGAGTACATGTGCTTTGAGTGTGAAAAGACTTTTACGTCAGCAAAGTGTTTAAAACAGCACCAGAAGATCCACACTGGAGAGAAACCATACAAGTGTTCACACTGTGACAAGAGATTCAATCGGTCAGGACATGTGAAAATACACGAGATGATTCACACTGGAGAGAAACCGTACACATGTGATCGGTGCGGGAAGAGTTTCACACTAAAAGCACACCTCACTGCACATACGAGAGTTCACACTGGAGAGAAACCATTCACTTGTGATCAATGTGGAAAGTGTTTCGCGCAATCAGCAAAACTTAGGGAGCACGTGAATATCCACACTGGAGAGAAACCATTCACTTGTGATCAATGTGGAAAGTGTTTCGCGCAATCAGCAAAACTTAGGGAGCACGTGAATATCCACACTGGAGAGAAACCATTCACTTGTGATCAATGTGGAAAGTGTTTCGCGCAATCAGCAAAACTTAGGGAGCACGTGAATATCCACACTGGAGAGAAACTGTACCCATGTGATCAATGCGGCAAAACATTTTTGTGGGCGTCAGTCCTGAAGAAACACCTGAACGTTCATACAAAGGAGAAGCCACATACATGTACTTTGTGTGGAAGGAGTTTTTCACTTCTACATCATTTAAAAGAACATCAGAAAATACATACTGGTGTGAGAGAGTACATGTGCTTTGAGTGTGAAAAAACATTTACTTCGGCATACTGTTTAAAACTGCACGAGAGGATCCACACTGGAGAGAAACCATACAAGTGTTCACACTGTGACAAGAGATTCAATCAGTCAGGAATCCTGAAAGCACACGAGAGGATCCACACCGGAGAGAAACCTTACAAGTGTTCACACTGTGACAAGAGATTCAATCAGTCAGGAATCCTGAAAGCACATGAGAGGATCCACATTGGAGAGAAACCTTATCACTGCACTGCATGTGGGAAGAGTTTTAGTCAATCATCTTCTCTACACAATCATACAAAAAGCATTCACAGTAAGTAGATCCAGGACTTTCAGGTCTGTTGCTGTGTCCTCACCAAATATGACACACTAATGCATCAACCCATAAAAACATCATCTGGATAAATCACAGAAACATTATCTAAAGTTTTCATAGTGAATATAGCTCATCTTCAAAACCAGCAGATTCAACTGTGAGATTCAGATCAACTCAAAGATGAGTTCCTCCCCAAAGAACTATACTAAATAATATCATTGTGCTTTCTTTTAAGTTTCATATTGTTTTCAATTGTCTTAAAATGCATATGTGTCACTAGTAGTTTGCTTACTCTTTAACGTAGAAGAAATGTAGAAGTTGACAAACTGTTCTCGTTCAGGAAGCTGAAGAAGAGGCTGTAACACTTTTAAGAGAGACTGAGATTTAGTTTTATTTGTTCTTTGTTTCTTAAACCACTAGTTATTCTCCTTCAATGACATATTTAGAAACTTTTAGCACAGATGCAAGATATACTGTCATGTAGCTTTGTACCTGATCCTTCTGTGCTTCTCTTGTAAGTAAGGATGGTACCTGAACCCGATATTAAACGGGCTCTGGGGCTAAATTATGAAAGACCGTAGTCATGATAAGCTCTGATGCTATCGGTTCTGCTTCCAGTACTGGAGAAATTAAGTAAATTAAATTAAATACCAGACTGGTATTATATAAAAACATGGACGTATTGTCCGTGATGTCACCCGTAGGTTTCTGAAGAGCGTTTTTGAAGCTCAAAGTGGGCGGAGCCAGCCGTTGCCATCTTGGCAGCGCGTCACTCCCGGATAATCGAAAATGGGCAAAGAGGCGCTTGGTAAATACACTTACAATTTACACACGTGGTCAGAATTGTTGGTACCCTTGGCAGATATGATCAAAGAAGGCTGTGAAAATAAATCTGCATTGTTAATCCTTTTGATCTTTTATTTAAAAAAATCACCAAAATCTAACCTTTCATTGGAGAATAAGAATTTAAAATGGGGGGGGGAGTATCATTATGAAATATATATATATTTTTTTCCAAATACACGTCGGACACAATTACTTGTACCCCTATAAATTCTTATGAGTAAAATATATCTGTAATATATTCCCATTCATATTCACAATTATGGATAATTTCATGTTCATAATCACTCATTTTCTAGGGTTCAGGCCAGGGAACTGCGATGGCCATGGCAGAAGCTTCATTTTGTGCTCAGTGACCCATTTTTGTGTTGGTTTTGGCTCATTGTCCCGATGGAAGCCCCAACCATGGTCCATCATAATATTTCTTACAGAGGCAGTCAGGTTTAGGTTTTTTATCTGTTGGTAGAATCCATGATGCCATGCATCTGAACAAGACGTCCAGGGCCTCCGGCAGAAAAACAGGCCCACAACATTAAAGATCCAGCAGTATATTTAACCGTGGCCATGGGGTACTTTTTATCCGTTTGCACCAAACTCATCTTTTTTTTTTGTTTCATCTGACCATAGTAGCCAGTGCCATTTGAAGTTCCAGTCGTGTCTGACAGACAGCTGAATATGCTGGAGTTTGTTTCTGGAGGAGCGAGGAGAATTTTTCTTGAAAGACTCCCGAACAACATGTGGTGATGTAGGGGCTTTCTGACCCCAAGACTCAACTAATCTCTGCGATTCTCCAGCTGTGATCCTTGGAGAGTCTTTGGTCACTCAAAGTTTGCATTAGGACGATCTAGACACACGTCCTCTTCCAGGCAGATTTGTAACATCTTTAGTTGATTGGAACTTAATTATTGCTCTGATGGTGGAAGTCTTTAGCGTATTTCTTATAGACACTTTCTATTTTGTGAAGCTCAACAATCTTGTTCTGTACATCGGAACTATATTCTTGGGTATTACTCATTGTGATAGATGATTAAGGGAATTTGGTTGGACTTCCTCATGTTTATAATCCTGTAGAACAGGAAGGCATGGCTGGACAATTTCATGATCTTAGTCACCCTGGTGTGCTAAAAAATTTAAATATGAATGGGAATATACAGTACTTCAGTGATATTTTACTCATAAGAATTTCTAGGGATGCCAATAATTGTGGCCAACATGCATTGGAGAAAAACATTTATTTCATCATGAGATTCCCCCCCACCACTTTCAGTTGTTTTACTTCAATGATAGGTTCGAATTTTTGAATGAAAGATCAAAAGGATAACCAACGCAGATTTATTTCCATAGCTGCCTTTGCTCATATTTATGTTACTAAGGGTGCCAATATTAGTGAAGGGCACTTTAAATAGTAGTGCCTCTTACAGTATTACCAACACAAGGAAGGAACTTTATTTTACAGTCACATCCTACATCTCATAAGCTTGTACTACTAATAATTATTACAATAACTGGGTATAATAACTAGGAACTAACTCTGAACCTACACTAATCTTATCCCACGTAGTTACCTTATACTACCCAGTATTTTCTTAGTTAAGTACACACATTGTAAAAAGTGCAACCAAAATTTTATTAGCAAAAAGATTAACTGAATACCAATGATTACTATGAATGGATGAAGACATAAAAAGTACACAAGATGCAAGTGATTGTGTTGGATGTTGAGTTATCTTGTGAAAAGGAACTGTTGTTGTTCTTAAACTAATAAAAATAACTGAGGCAAACAAGTGAAAATTAATTTTTATTAACTGGTATCAGCTATATAATATCTAATGTAAATTAGAAAATCATATACCAATAATAAACAATGCCAAGGTATATGGAAAGAGGTTTAAGACACATTTGCCTTCTACATGGTCAAGTGAGCAGTGTAGTTAGTGTAAGCAGTCCTGTTAGGATTTTAAACAACCTATCCTACAGATTGAAACCAGTGTGTATGTTAAGTGTACACAGAGTGGCTCAGTGAAGGGTTGGATGATCTGCCATGAAATCAACATCAGAAAATTCTACAAAGCAATGTCAAGGCCAGTCTGTGAACTGAAGCCCTAAACATACACAAAGGCTTGAGCAAAGATACACTGCTGTATCCAAAACCTTCTGTCATCTCAGGAGAATTTCTCTACCTCATTTTTGATCAGGTACACACCGGGCTCCATTAATAACGGCATTTTGACACAAAGAAAGGAAAACCCTCTCGATTACTGTACATTTACTACTTGAAAAGGTAGAATTCAGTATATTTTCTAGGAAATGAACCCACAAATGGCTTTAACCATAGTCACATTTTAAAGGTCACATATTTGACACCTTTCTGGAGTTTTATTTGAGGTTTTGATGTCCGTAAGAATATATATTTGCGGTATAAGTACCAAAAACCATCTCAATATATTTTTACAGCTCCTCTCTTAGGAGCTCTGCTGAGAACAGAGTTTGGTCTAATTAATATTCATGAGCCTCTCTTCTGATTGGCCTGTTGTTTTCTGAGTGACACACGGCCAGGCCAACCACAGGTAACTAGGGTCAGCCGACGTCACAGCGCTAGCTGGAGGCAGCCCATTCAAACCAGCGCAGATTCGGCTACATAAGGAGCTTAAAATATCTTGTGATGTTGGGTGCCAGAATCGACGTAATACAGCCTCAAATTAGAAATTTGATCGCATATCTGCTGCCACTGCCATACAAAAAAAAACGACGACAGCTGTGGTTAAACGCGATAAAACGAGCAAACTGGACAGAAAAGATCATCAAAAATGCTTGCGTTTGCAGCGCACACTTCTTATCAGAAAAGATCCAATAAAGTATTGTCTTTTGTTGTTATGGGCTCGTCTACAGATTTCTTTTTCATTTACAGACTATGTCGTGTATTATGAGGTGATGCCTGTGTGCATGTGTATAAAACAACAAACTGACAATTTATATATAAATATATATAATCATTTGTAATTGTATATACACTGTTGTGATTAATTGTGGCTGGAACAATAATGTAGCTGTAAAAAAAGAGTTGCCTGGAAATTGAAATGTATATCTTCATCATGACTAGATAGACACGGTGAGTTTGTCTTTACTACACACGTTAGATGTGATCCACCTCATAGTAACAATCCTGTCAGATCGTCCATCCTTTGAGTGAGAGTGTAACGTTACAGGTCGGCTGTTCTGGTTTCGTGGTTAAAGTTAACCTTTTCGACATGTTTCCGTGTTGTTGTTGCTCAGCAATGGCATGGACGCGATGTTGTCTGGGGGTTTGGCTAAAGGAGAGTGGGACGGTGGGCGGTGACTGTGTAGTTCTGACGTCAACTTTTTACGGAAGTCACAACGGTTTGTGAAAACTCACAGCTACTTTATGCAGGCTGTGTGCATTTTACTGTGGACTGACTGTTTTGAAACTTATATGGTAGTTAAATAGCACCTAGACCTCCGTTATCATGAAAAAAGCCAGGACATTTCAGTTTTGACAATATGGGACCTTGGGACCTTTATTCAAACAATGGACTAAATATCAACTTATTAAAAATATAGTTTGAGACCTTTTATGAATCTGTTCTGGGATTCTGGGAGCACACATATTATTATGGCGTCTACCACACATTATGAGAACTTATGAGCGACAGAACACATTACACACGGGGTCTTCAAGCGCAGACAAAAACAGGACCGTATTGAAATCGAAAAAAAACAAACTGCGTATTCAAGCCAACAAACTACTAACGGTCATACATTTTATTAGATTTGAATAAGCATTTATTAGATATATATATATATATATATATAAACATTCTTTACCGTCTTGAATAAGGAGAGTGTGAATTGAGCAAGGAAAACAAATTGCTTAGGACTGTTTTATTGCTCCAAAAGGGAAGCATTCACATGGAATATTAGTGCAACATGCCAAAAAAAGTGTTTTGGAATTAAAGAAGTATTCCATATTTCACTAGAAAATTTCCATAATGTTTTGAAGGTTTTATTTGATTTAATTCCATGTTGCTTTTCCCTTGCCTGCCAAATTACAAGTTTACATTGTTTTAATATTCAGTTACCGATGCCATTATTAAAATTAGTCGCTTACTACACACGTTAGATGTGATCCACCTCATAGTAACAATCCTGTCAGATCGTCCATCCTTTGAGTGAGAGTGTAACGTTACAGGTCGGCTGTTCTGGTTTCGTGGTTAAAGTTAACCTTTTCGACATGTTTCCGTGTTGTTGTTGCTCAGCAATGGCATGGACGCGATGTTGTCTGGGGGTTTGGCTAAAGGAGAGTGGGACGGTGGGCGGTGACTGTGTAGTTCTGACGTCAACTTTTTACGGAAGTCACAACGGTTTGTGAAAACTCACAGCTACTTTATGCAGGCTGTGTGCATTTTACTGTGGACTGACTGTTTTGAAACTTATATGGTAGTTAAATAGCACCTAGACCTCCGTTATCATGAAAAAAGCCAGGACATTTCAGTTTTGACAATATGGGACCTTTAAAACATCCTTCAAACAATGGACTAAATATCAACTTATTAAAAATATAGTTTGAGACCTTTTATGAATCTGTTCTGGGAGTTACTCACCACACATATTATTATGGCGTCTACCACACATTATGAGAACTTATGAGCGACAGAACACATTACACACGGGGTCTTCAAGCGCAGACAAAAACAGGACCGTATTGAAATCGAAAAAAAACAAACTGCGTATTCAAGCCAACAAACTACTAACGGTCATACATTTTATTAGATTTGAATAAG